TTAAACACTTCATCTTACGCCACATTTCTGGTACAGAAGTAGCCTCATTAATTGAAGAACAAAACTACATAAATCACTGTTCAAAATTACATAAATCACTGTTCATGCTACCAGTTTGCAGATGACACATGTTTGCTAGTTGCTGATAAAGACACTGATATAGCATGTAAATTGTTACAGTCTGACTTTAATATGCTTGCAAAATGCTGTCATGACGCCGGATTGGTTCTGAACTCCACCAAAACCAAGCTGTTACACATAAAGTCTCCTTATATCAAGTGTACTTTATCCAAGCACATAGTTGCTCACAATCATAGTTGCCTTCACTCCTCTTGTAAAAACACATGTAATTTGTTTTGCTTTTGTTTTCTTTTCTTACAAACGTAATTAACTATTAATTATACTTTAATATAATGTCAACTCAGGTCGCGTCAGCACAAACCGTAGTGGTTTTTTGTATGCGACTTTTTAGCATAGTTTTTTCTTGTAATGCTTTGTGATGTGGTAAAAAAATGTAGAATAATTTATTTTTAGCCTGTCCTAATAATAATTGTGAAATTCTGATTTTATATTTCTATTTGATTAAATTACCAGAAATGGCATTCTTATATTTGTAGAAATTACCAGAGGAAACAGAGTAAGTGCTAGACGTCTCTCTGCAACAGATTTCGATAACTGAGGATTAAAATAGTGTTTGGGAGTAAAATGCTGAGAGGGATCTTCGCTTAATTTATACAAAGGAATGTGGCATCAGAGGCTTCGTTAATTTTGCTAAAAAACGAATCGTAACTTGTTTGCAGATTTTTAATAATTAGGTTATAATTTGAAAAATTATCTTCAATATACTTGCGATCTCCATCCCAGTCAGCATTTTTATATTTTCTCCTCTGAATAAATAGTGAGTTATTGTTCCTATAAGAAATATAAATCTTAATAATTTAGTGGTCACTACCCGGTGTCTCGTTGGTTATATTCCAGTTTAAGTGCATCGCTATGTCCGAAGGTGCAATAGAAATATCAGGAGAAGCTTCCTGTAAATTTCCGTTGACAAATTTAACGCGCGTAGCTTGACTTCAACGTCACTTCTTAAATTATTCTACTCTTTAAATCTTCCTGTGAGTTAGAAATTATTGTATATAATTTTAAAAGCAACTGCTTTTAATTTAAATTTGATCTGTACTTCTCTTTTCTCTCATTTCTTTACCGAATTTCATTTTCCGACTCATCGACTAAATTGTTATTCATTGCTTCGGATTCCGAAGATACATCACAGTTATACATTTCACTTTGACTTTCTTTCTTTTTCATATTCTTTTTTTTTCTTGGGTCTCTGTTCTCATGATTGAACATCCGTTGAGCACGGTTGTATAGTTTGTGATTGTCGAATTAAACTATCACGTTGCGGCGCTCGGGTCACGCTTGCATAGAAAATAACGTTTAATGTCTTGTGACTGCTTGAGACTCGGGACACATATTGTCGCGTGCCGGTGAAGTTGAATCAATTTCTTCTACACGCAGAGGAGGGATAGGTTCTAGTGGAACATATATTTGCAACGCCTTCCTATGAATATATATAATATACTATAAGAGCAGTTGACCTCTGCCATCAAATCCCGAATTTATTTCTCTTTTTTAAACGCAGGCCACGATCTATACAGGGATAAATAGTTTCCTGCACAATTCACACATTTATATGACCTAGTCTTATAATTGGCGTGACCCTGCACACAACCTTTTTGCTTTGATAAATACGTAAGGAGTGCCCAAATCGCTAGCACCTTGAACACTGGGTAACTGGGAACACGTACGGGTCGATATTTATCTCCATGCCGTAGATGTAGACACACGTTGGTAGTGAGGGACCCTTGAACCCCAGACGTATTGACTCACTTTCTCCCCAGCTGTTACCATCCTTATTCCTGCGTTTTAAACGTTTTACCGCTATCAGTTCAAAATTACTTGAAATAACTTCTAGCATGTCATTTACACTCAAGCAAATTCTACATCCTTAATAACGCCATAAGGTGAAACAACTTCTAATGATTTTTGGCATCACCAATCTAAATCTTCCAAAGGTTTGAAATTGGTCAACTCCTCAGCGATATCTGCATTTTCGAACTGTATGAACACTTTATATTTTTTACGCGGGTTTATATATTTTACGCGGCTAACATTGATAATGTTATTTGACCTTAATAATTAAGCAAGCTTGAATTGCTTCGGTAGCTTTTCATAATTATACCTTCTGACTCAATCTCTTTCCATATCTTTCTACCGCTATCCACCCTTATTCCTCATCCACCTCCCGGGGTCTCTTATTACTTCTAACTCTATAACTAGAGTCCTCAAGCATTTCTTTCTCACGTTGTGTATTATTCTTCTCTAGTAAACACATCTCCGACTCATCAACAAGACTTATCTGGGTTAGAATATTATTACACTCATTATGTTCTTGAATTGTATCTTCCTCTGTGTTAAATAAGGTACACTATTGTATGCACCTATTAAACATAGCGTGATGTGCATAAGTAGTATATACACAATAGCGTGAAATATTTCCAGCTCGGCGAGAAAAAACAACGCGACTATAGCGGACAAGTGCCCACAGCAAATACGCCTACTCACTACGGTCGTGCAGCGCACACTGCATTATAAGCTTGTGTTTGATCCTAGTATTTAAAAAGTATATCTTTATTTTTATCAACGCTGTTCATGATAATTCCTACATACACTACATTTTCATAAATAAATTACTATTTAATTCTTTAATTTTTTCTTAAACTCAAGTACTCAACTCAAGAACTTAATTTTTAAATTGGCCGTACGGTCATCTTTTGCAAAATATATTATATGGTTTCAATGTCAGCCGAGTTACCTTATAGTAAAATTCCATAAGACATAACGCTATGGTAGAAAATAAAATAAACAAATGTAGCAGTTGAAACTAAGATTAGACTCATCTTCCTTGCAGCATATGCTGCAGAACGAAGTTTGCTTGCTACTTAGGATATACAAGTTATTTTGCAGAGGAGGTTTCAAAGACGTAATATAAGCGCATGGAGAAAAAACCTCATACATTTTTTTCCTTTTTATCTTTTTATTCAAAATACGAGGAAGTGCATTATTTTAACTGATTGTCATTCATAAATACGTAGCGCCTACTATTTTATTATGCACGCTCACATTCGTGGGGGAACGTTGAATTTGTAAACAGTCAGTGGCGTTAAGCGCTCGTGCTCAGTTGGAAATTTAGCTATTTGATAGTTGTTTTGTCTCGTAAAAACAAGCGCGTCTCTCTGGTTTTTCCTTTCCATGAGCCGTTACACCGCTAGGTACTTTCGCCCGGCCAGCCGACAGTGTTGACTTGACGGTGATCTCATTATGTATGAGTGTCCCATTTAAAAATAATTGTAGGTAGTACTAATCGTCACTTCATTAGCAACGACGCCACGAAAATATTTGAACCGCGAATACTATGAAATAGTACGGTGTTACACTGTAAGCAATGAAATTTTACGTGGGCGCAAAAATTATACGAAAGTTTATCAACCAATTGGAGTTCAATTTCGGCAGCAAATCAAAAATTGTTAGAATTTGAACAGTTTACAACTCCGTAACATGGAAGTGTATGAGGTGATTGAGGTGATCATTTTGTAATAAGATCGGCTGTCAAAAACGCAGTGATCGGTTTTTTTTTACTGAAACTTCCGTGCTAGCACAAATGAGAATCACCAGCTCAAGGATTCGGAGTTAGCCAATAATGCATGTATGTGTTGTTTTATAATTTTAATTATTATGACAGCCCTAAGCCCGTTAAATATGAAGGTAAATGTGAAATTATAACTCGCGTCGCGTAGTTATCAACTAAGTAACGAGCGTGTTATCAAAGAAGTAAATAGTAGAAAAAAACTCCATACAATGATTCCTATGCACACAACCGTTTGTACGCTATAATTATTGCCCATAAATCACATTCAATTTCGGATATTTTCAAATAAATTAAGAAATCTTATTTACGCGTAATCTGCCACGTTTTTTTAAGTTACTTTCTTGTTTGTCTGTCATTCGGGTGGAATTTAGTAATTGATTTCGAAATTTCGAGGAGCTGGAAACTTGAAATTATGAATATAGCTACAATTCGGAAGACAATGCAAGAATATGATAAATAAAGCGTGGTAAATTTTTTTCTAAATTTCAATTGGTGTACAATATCTTGTGGTAATACTTTTTGAAATCTAAATTCTTTGATAAGGCTCGGTGACTGTGAGAAAGTATTAAACGATTCTGCAGTCAATATAGGAATATCAGTGAAATATGTCTCAAAAACGCTGTGACTTTTTGATTTGATCTGTGATAACATTGTGAGGGAAACAAACATAGTAAGGAAAATGAAAACATCATGATTGAAAATAATTATTTTGAAAAAAATATTTTGAAGACAAGTGAAATAAATCGATATGCTTTGGGAAAATTCGGCGGACATACCATTAATCTAAAACTTGCTCAAAAATGAGAGGAGTGACTGTGCTTAGCTGTATGATATACATGTATATCGACTGTAACTTTTACTTTAGGTTTTTACATTTAGAACAGGTGGTTTAAGCTATGTTTATGTGTTATTATATTAATACAAATAAATTATATACTATTTTTTATAAAAATATAAGTAATCTTATAACATTACCAATATTCCTTTTAACCACTCCTGGTAAGCTTGAAACGCTTGTGCTAGGAGTGGTTCACCACTGCAGTCAAACAACGGATTTGAACCCCAGACTTTTTGATATAGCGTTAAAAGTTTAACTACTTAATCGGAAAATTAAACAAAATAGTGTAGCAAGAATATTCACGGGTTTCTGTTTCGTTATTTACCGTATTGCGGATATGAAAGTGGGTTCTATGGCACTGCTTACAAAACTTATATATCTTAAACTTGAATCGACAAGGATAAGCTGTCATTACGAACATACTTATTATATATAAGAACACGTTTTTTTCAGGATGGCTACGGAATGAGAGTAAAAGCTGTACATATAATTACTCCATCAAAAACTGCGGAAACAATATTTGCATTTTGTAAAAAAATGCTCAGCGCAAAATTAATTCAACGCATTCAAATACACAAGGATTTCGAATCACTGCACAAGGTTGTACAGAGAGATGTTTTACCAGAAGAGCTAGGTGGTAACGAGAGGTCTATTATTAAATTACACAGTAAGTTTGTAATGTTCACCCTATTCTATAAGTGTGGCATTTTATTTCTATGGTGCTAACAAAAACTGTGGTAATATCACCGTATATTTACGGCACATAGCTTAGAATTATTTATATATAGAATTATTTATATAACTAATCTTTATTGAACCTTACAAAAAGTAAAGTAGTTAGCAGAAAGGGCAGTAATAACACATATAAGGTGGTTACAGAGAATATAAAAAATATTATAAAAGGTAAACGTATACATTATACACACATAGACACAAATGTTATTGCCATATGTAATAGGTTCATAATATAATACTGATAATATAAAAATTACTATAATGATGACGTAGGTTAGCAGTTTTGAATTATTTTTATAAAACTAAGCGAGAATGTTCATCGTAGCAACCTATTGTCCTAAAAAATAGCCACGTGTTACGAGTAATTACCGTAGAAATTTATACAATCAATGAAGTACTTTAAACGATGAAAATTTAATTATCGAATAATCATGGCAAAAACAAATTTGTGATTTCTAAGTTAAATGGTTATATTTTGTATTGAATTATGTACGTAATAATATTTTAAGTTACTAATGAGGGTTTACCAAAAAATAGTAATATTAATATTATATTCAAAAGAAATAAGGGAATAAAACGGTTGAAGGAATCGATTGTGTTATTACTTTTATTGAAACTAGAATTAAAACGAGCTTGTAATAATAATAAAGATAGGGTGTGATAGCTAAGCGTGGTAGATGTTTCTGACGTAAATATTTTTTAAACAAAATATAAGTTTTAAAAACGATTTCATCATCATCATCAGCCTGCTGCAGTCAACTGCTGGACATAGATGTCTCCCAAGGCGCATCACTTAGCCTGAACTTCGGCTACGGGCATCCAGTTTCTACCAGCCACCTTGTACAGATTGTCACTTCATCTGGTCACGGGGCGTCCCACAATAAGTTTGCCTAGTTGCGGTCTCCATTCCATGACACAGACATTTTCAGATTCACAAACACACACCAACACGTAGGGTGGATTAATTCAGTCTATTCAGCATGTCCTGAAGTTATCGCAATGATTCTGCCATGAGCAGCAAACTTATTGCAAAACGTATGTGTGAGATGTACTCACTATTTACGTTAATCCCGCGTCCGTTCCATTTTAACGTCTTAAAACATCTTCTAATGCATTTGTAAACACATATATCATCTCACTCCGCTATACAACTGGATAAGTTTTGTTTAAATGCCCTCTATTTGATCGAACATCGTACTGGTTTTGTTAAGGCATCTCAGTATTTCAATGTACTGCCAGTCAATTTGGCATCACTGCAAAGAATTCAGAACAACCCATGTTTTAATGTAGTCAAAGGCTTTCTCATAGTCTACAAATGCAAGATACAGGGGCTGATTGTATTCTGTTGTCTTCTGTATTATTTTCCTAACTTCAAACTTCTTCAATTTCTTTTTATTTTCTACTTTTATTCTTAACACCAATATATTTTTTACCACTATATTTAGGTTTATACTGAGAAAATTCATTATTTATGTCTTATATTTAGGTCGGGAAAAAGTTTCTTCGTATTTTATACACAAATTAAAGACACTTTTTTTTCAAAGTTTAATTACATTTAATTATAACTTCCTTTTTTTTTGCGGATGGAAAATCATCTAATGACGCCTTTCGCTCTGGGTGGAGCGTAAGGGAGTGTCAGACTTTTACTGTCTAAAAACCATCCGTGTTCCTTCAGTGCCCTTACGTTCCGGAGCCGCGGTATCTCTTTCGAACAGCCCGCAGCCCCGGCAGGCGTCGGCCCTTGCGGGCCCCTTCACGCTGCTGACGACTCTTTGAGGCGCGCGTGGAACAAAACGCGCCGTCGACACGGCCTGTCGTCGTTAGACGGACGGACGGCGAGCTACCCATTGCTCGCCGTCCACAGGCCCGCGCCTACGGTGGCCGGGGGCCACGACGTAGCCCCCGACGCCCGGGTCGTCTCCCGCGGCGGCCGGGGAGGAAAGCTGCTGCTCTCTCCTTCTCCCGCTCCGCCACCTCCTTCGCTAGCATCACTGCTTCGCAGAAGGTGGTGACGGCATCCCATTCCGTCTCGCTCCGGACCATGGCTTCGACCAGGGCGCGAGAGGCAGGCTCACGTAGACTGGCCAGGTCTGCGCGGAGCTGCTCGTTCTCCTTCTGGAAAGTCTCCATGGCAGACGTCAGGCGGGCCACGTCCGCCCGCAGCTTCGGCACCTCATCCGCATTAGGCCCGGCCCCAACAAAGTTGGCCTCCGCAGCCGCCATGATGGAGGCGGAGGCCCCGGGAATGGCCTTGAACTTTGAGGAGGGCTTTTGCTTGTAGGCCACGACCTTGATCGCGGCCTCCACCTCCTTTACGAATCTGGCCTTACGCTCCACCTCGGAGCCGCCAGTCGCACTCTTCTCTTCGCCTGATACCCGAGCCGTATCGCCCGGGTGGCGCCCATCCTCGGCAAGCTTTGCCGCTCGTTCGGCCATCTGATTGTCAGAGAGCCCCCTCCCCTTGCCTCTCAGCCCGCCCCGCCTGTTGGTGGGGATTTTCCGGGCCGAAACCTCCTCTTCACCGGATGACGGCCCCTGGTCGCCATCCTGCCTGGACCGCTTGCGGAAGCACTTACTGGTCACCGCGGTCCCAGGCCCCACGCGTCGGGAGCTCTCTGAGCCTCCCACGCTGCTCGATGCGGCGTCGGACTCTGTCCCCGCATCGTTTCTCCTCTCCTCTACGTTGCCGTTGCCGGCGGTTTTGTTTTTTTTTGTTTTTGTTTGTTTTCCATTTTTTGTACCCACGAGAATGGGGGAATTAAAGGTCCACCTTGGCAGAGACCCCTGTACCAAGGTAAGCAGATTTAGAGGATTTATTACTCGCCAGGGTGTCTTCAGGTACCCTGGCGAGGAGCGCACTTGCGGCTGATTTGTTCATAGAACCCCGTCAGCCATCCATCCCCTGCGGTGCGTCGCCGCTTGGGATTCGGGGTAACTTTTTTAAAGAGGTTTTCTCCCTCGCGGTCCGGGCGATTAAGCCAAGACCCTCGGTCCTTATCAAAGCCGCGAGACATGATCCACGACACTTCGATACTGGGATTACGAGACCGGCGGTGACAGCAAAGGATGAATCCTTCACTGTCTGCCCGGAGGCAGGGTAAGTGCACACCGAGCCCGCCCTCGCTCCTCTGCTATGCCCTCTGCTGATCAGAGGGTCACGCAGAGGAACGCACTGTTGGTCCGGGACGGACCCCCCCCATGTCAGAATAATTAGCCGCGGCAGCAACATTCCCCAAGGAATAAGAATTTCTTCTCATTTCTCGAGGATGATTACCGCCGCGCCCAGGGTGCACCAGCCTAGTTGCTGCTCTTCCCTCCAGACGTATCGAGAGGGACCCGCAACTACCAGGCACACGTGGAGGACTTCTGACTTCGCACCCCAATTATAATATAAATGTTCCATTTTATTCGATAACTTGTTGCCGTCTTGTAATTAGTGACATAACTCGGCTGCTGTATAAATCTTGGGATTTGTGATCAAAAAATACGAGTAGTTTTGACAGTCCTCTCTTGATGTTAACCTACCACTACCGAAAGAATTCTAAAGGGACCCTAAACAGGCGAAAATTTGAAGGTGCAAAGAAAAGACTATATGTATGCATAAACACTTCCCAAACCAGCTCTCACAATTTTCGCAGAGTGGTCAGGTATGTGTGTGGTCTGGCATTATCATGATGGAAGACTACTCATTTTCTGTTTCGGCAGTTTTTCTCAGTTTCTTGCTTAAGTTCCATTAGATGTTGACAGTAAAGATCCCAATGGATGGTTTAGAACGTCACTCCTTCAGAGCCATTCGCCAAACTGCTCGCTGGACAGAAGAGCAGAAAAATAAACGATGCTCTTCCAATCCCACCATACACACAGCATCAACTTATTGTGTGTTATTCCGGGTTTCGCTACAGTCTGTGGAGCTTGACTACCCTTCGACCATTATATTTTTCGCAAGTTCTTTTCATAGGTAATCAACTTTTTATCACCAATGATCAATCTTTTCAAAAATAGTTTGGCTTCACGTTTCAATAGAATAGAATCGACAACATCAATATATATATATATATATATATATATATATATATATATATATATATATATATATATATATATATATATATATAGAATAGTAAATGAATACACTAGACATTAGCTTTTCTTCAGAGAGCTCGTGTGGTACCCAAATATCGAGCTTTATTGTACAGCCAGACTTATAACTGTTTTGTTGTCAATCCTCAATTCTCCAGCTATAATGTAACTACTAATACCCACCATGCTCCACTTTTCTTAAAAATTTAAAAATGGCATGGACTTTATTTATCTTTGACATAAAAACCGGAATGAAAACGCTTGAACCAAATTTGTGCTACTCTTACTGACACTTCACTAGGTCCATAAACGTTACAATTTTTTTTGGATTGATTGATCTTTCGCATTTTTCCCACTTTTTAATAAAACTTCATAATGTATCGAATTCGTTGGATTCCATTGAGCTATTATGTACTACGTACTAGAGGCGACACTGCATTTAGTTACGCTGTCCCAATCAATTGCGGCGTTATCGCCACACTTTACTCAGACACTCGCTAGGCGCTAGTGAATTGACACATGTTGGTTGATTATATAAAAATCTCTTGACAAAAATATGCCGTGATGTGTTTTTAGAAATTGCACAAATTATTGAAGAAATGTTAGCAAGTGCCAGGGAATAACTTTTAATCGGTGAATAAGATACTTAATTAATAAAAAAGTTTTATAGATTAATAATAAAAAAATATCCCTAAAACGCCATCTCGTGTCAAGGAATATAGATTATGAAATTAATTTGCTCAGATGCAACATTTCAGTGGGTACTTAAGTATAGGACAATTATATTGTTACGAGTTTAGGGTTCGTGACAATCAAAACTGCCGACTGAATTACCAAAATTGATACTTTAATTACCGTTCACCAATTACAACTTAAAACACACTAACAATTAATCACACTTAACACTTAGTTAGTTAGTAGTTAGTTCGCAGTTATATCGTTTCGAAGTATTCGCTTGAATTGCCAATTCAATACTGACTAGGTCGCGGTCAATACCAGTCTTATATAGAACCTTTTCTACTGAAACATCTAGAATGTTCGAGTACATACCGGTCCTGACCGTCTAGTTGTAGAAAGTTTTTTTTTTAAGAATATTAACAATACTACAAACATTACTAATATTCCCCTTAACCACTCGTGGTAAGCTTAAATTGTTTGTGTTACGAGTGGTTCACGTCAGTAGTCGAATGGCGGATTTGAACCCACGACCTTTTTTAGTTCGCGGTCCGCGCCCTGCCATTAAGCTGCTGTCGCCTTGGGTTGGTATCATGCACGACTCCAGGATATTTCAAATGCCTTCAGTGTACATGAAATATTCCCAAGGCGTCCTGGATGGAAGACTTGTAGGTGATAGTGGATCTCCTGCACTACCATTTTTACTTACGTCTATTAAACCATTACACCAAACGACCTTTTTGAGTTCGCGGTCCGCGCCCTTCCATTAGGCTACTGTCGCTTCATCAGTCAGTTCTCACCTAGTCCTGCCACTCGATACTAGATGGCGTTAGTGGGAAAGTTCTATTATGAAAATTTCTATGAAGCTCTTCTAGTTCTACTACTCGATACTGGATGGGGCTAGTGGCATTAAATTTGGCTTGCAACAATATTATGCACAGCCTTTTTTTAGTAGTAACAAAATATGAGTAATCATAACTAGGCTGAATTGCTTGTATTTAAATTTGCTCATTATTCTTTTATTATATTTTTGGTTTCCATATCTAAGTCAAATTGGAATAAGTTCGTCCATTTTTAACTCTCGCGGGCCTAGCATTTATGAACGACTCTTATTCTCTAAATAAATATATTTATAATTTAAATGTTATATTAATGAGCTTTGTTAAACATACATTTTTAATTTTTAAATGTCTGATATAAAAATATTAAGATAAAAATATTTTGTTAAAATATAATTGTGAAAAATATTATGTAATATTATATTAAATCGGCATATATATACAAAATAAATAACAAAATTTTAAAAATTATACTCGGTATAATTTATCTAATCGACAATACAATCTATTATTACATACTGTACATTCTACCTACGTTGTTTATTCTATGACAAAAAACCAAACGCGCCACATTATTCTATACTGCGCATGCGCAAACACATGTAGCGCACATATTTTATTTGAAATAGCTGTTCTAGTACGTATGCACATGTTACTTCAATGTTACATTCACTCATTTTGGCGGAGAGAAAAACAATTGAAAACTGGCGGGAAAGTGTATTTTAGTTTTAAATTTTCTTTTTCTTAATGTCCTGTATGTATTGATATTGAAACTATCCCGATACAAACAGTACATCCAAAGAGACTGTCCTTCAATTTTAAACAAACAAAATACGAAGTACCTTTTCCCCTGACCTATTATGTGTAATAATAAACTTAATATTTCTTACAGAAGAATGGGTTGACGTTCTAAGTTCAAAGGAGTTTCAAGAATATTACAGCGAAATGAAAGCAGCTTCCACAAATGAAAAGTATAGACAGACTGATAAATTTAACGAAGAGTATATGGGAATAGCAGGCACATTTAAAACTTTAAATGTAGATTAGTTTTTTTAATTGGGTGACCAACGAGTACACAATTCAGCTGATGGTAAGTGGATGGTGTGGCCAATAGACATCGACATTTATCCCAAACTAAGAATCAAAATGCAAATGTGTTGTCACGTGAGACTAAGATGGAATGCCTTGATTCCAGTAAAAAGGGTCTCCGATTCACTACACTCACCATACGAAACCCAGCAGCATTACAATGCTATTTTACGCTGGTATTCTGTGAGAGCTTGGTCCTGCCCAGGTTGAGCCGACCCATTTGGGATACATCTATAATATAGCTGCAGCGTGGCCTTACCAGTTAAGTGAGTATTTATAAACAAACTTTAGTTAAAATTACATTATTGTATTAGAGTTGTGAATATTGGTGTTGATAGTTTGAGCGTATGTAATAGTACGTAAATAAAATAAACTAAGATGAGAATTTTGTTCGATTTTTTCATTCAATAAAATATTTTACGATCCGTGTGAATCAATCTTGACACATTTGCCACAATTCAATGACTATAAATTTGAACCCTTTTTGTCTATCTTAGTAAGTCTACATCTACGGTTATTCCTTATCAAACTGCGGCTAGATGTCACTGTCGCACTAGTCAATAAAATTCATATTCATGGCGTTATTTTTATAAATTTTTGTATTTTTTTTAATATCATAAAGTTTCTACAGAAAAGTTTTTTATTTAAATTGATAAGAAGTTGGTTGACGTGGTAGAGCCACTTAGCAGCTATATTATTGTTTTAGCACAAATGGGTTTTTTGGCGGTCAAGTACCACGTTTTCACAGAATACAACTTTAAAATAGCAGCTTAATGCTGCTGTGTTTCGTATGTAGAGTGTAGAGAATCGGAGACCCTTTTTAATGGAAACGAGACATTTCATTTTGTAGATGTCTATAGGAACATCATCCATTTACCATCAGATGGACTGTGTACGCGTTTCACATCCTTTTTCTACAAAATAAATAAATAAATAAAATGTTATTTTTATAGACTTGCTAGTTTCAAAGCCGTGTCGTTCAAGTGCCGTGATAGCTCAGATAGTTAACGCTCGCTGTAAATATAACATAAAGCGAGTAACCTGGGTTCGTTCCCCGCTAGCACCAATGAAATTGTTAATTGCAATTTTAAGTGCTGATTTACCACGTGCTCGGCGGTGAAGGAGAACATCGTGAGGAAACCTGCATGTCTGATGAGTAAGGAAAAAATAATAATTTGGCATAGCGGCGGACATTTCCTTGCCCTAAAACACTCTCAGAAATGAGGGGAGGCATGTGCCCAGCAGTGGGAAGTATATAGACTATAACTTTAGTTTCAAAGTGTTGTGTGTGCTTGTGCACAACAGTGCTTGATTTACACAAAATTTGAATAAAATGGCATTTGTTGTTTCGCTATCGCTTTTATTGTATTTCCCGGAAATCCTCCATTACTGCAGCAATACAAATATGGCAAAAATCGCCAAGGATTCAGAAGCCTAAATATCAGAAACAACAGGACATCAACATCAAATAAAAGACCAAAAACTCATACAGGTATCAATAACAGAAATCGAGCCTCTAGTCATCTCATATCATCTCACAAAACTCTGTAAGGTTTTATCTGCATTTCGGAGTCCAAAATTCAAGAAGCAAAATTCGTACAAACTGAGCGGTGTAAACATCGCAGTCTTTTGATCATTTTTTTTGCAAAATGGTTCCTAATCAAACGATTTTCGTAGGTTTATGGTTGAAAATATAATGTAATAAGAAAATCGTGGAGGTACTTGATCGAATAATTATCTAGTATAGTGTGAGCGTTGTGTAGGCTGTAGTATCCACAGTGACACTAATCCTAGTGCTTATTAAGAGCTTTATGCAGAGATCAAATTTGATTCCGTGTAAGAAAAGTTTTAAATAAATTTTATCATAACTGGATCTACTTGTTTCTGTAGTTCGTTTGTTCGAAATTTCGGAGTTCCAAGATAGGCGACGCCTTAATTATTAATAAAAATTATTTCAAGTTTTTGATTCTATGATTTATCTGTATATTGTGACACAATAAAACGTAATATAACTAGCATTTTACCCGCGGCTTCGCACGCGTGGGCTTCAATTTAGAATGATCATTAAATTAGAAAAATTGGATTTTTCCATAGTTGACAAGCTTGGCGAGTGGGTCAAACGCAGTTTTTTATTATTTTGAGTTGTTATCAGGAAGATATTGCTGCCCATTACATGTTTTAATTACTCCCTGTTGCCTCTTATAACACCCACGGAATCATGTATCTTTACGAATGGTAAATTGTTTTAGAATCAGAGTTGCGTTTTTACATTTCATTTCTGAACTTATTCAAAACTAAAATTTCCTTAGTTTTGGCAAAATAATTTTATTTTAACGATCTTTCTTCTATTAACTCATAGCATAATGTTCATTCATGGCATTAACTGGCAGAATAAAATAGATGCTGGCTTGCTTATTTTCGAGTAAATTTAAAATTTCATGAATTTTTAAAGTACTATTACGAAACATGACGGTAAATGTGATAAGAACATCATCAATGAATGATACAAGGGTATCGCTCTTCCAAATTTAAAAAAAATGTGGGGAGGTACACGGCTCCTCATATGACGTGTGCTGTGATGCACCAATCAACTAACGCGCTCCACCCGAAGAGGACGTTAAGTTGGGAACTGAACCGTACTCCACAGCAAAATATCTGGCCAGTAAAAGAGGGTTTGGTCCCTTGATAGTGCCGGCATAAACATCGATCGAATTTGCGCTTGTTAATGCGCATAAACACCACACAAAATACGATCAAATCCAGCCACAGTGAATGTACGTCACACGGTTGAGGCAAATAGGCAGACTGGCCATAAAAGACCTCCGTAGGCGCTACCTCCTGCCAGATCGTAGTTCCTGAAGACGAGATGTAAGTGTATGGCATCACCACCGACTGCATGAACAGCACAGCTACTAGCCACAGAGCATGTCACGAGTCTATCGCTCACCTCCAGAGAATGGGATCCCACGTTGTGCAGCTTTCGGATGCAACCTTGAGAATCCCATCAGATCCTCCCTCCAGCTGCCCGCATGGGATCGACATATATGCTCCACCAACCAATAGAATGGTGGATATAGCCAAAAGGCAGTCATAAGATAATAGGAATAATTTGCCATTAGAAAGGGTTTGTGTCACTGACGTTGAGTATATGCATTTTTCGATCAAGTTTGTTCTTACCCACCAACAAGTTGCCTTCAATAATTCAAAAGTGGAAAAATTACAGAGATATATGTTGTTATATAAAACATCATGGAGGTCAGATAGTCCGCAGCTCCGTAATGTAGGGACCCGATTTGGGCAAAGCTATTTAGTTGTGAGTCGAACCAAGACGTAGAGAGCTTCATTGAGAATAGCGACCCGTCAAATAACCATCGCACGCAATGCTGCAAAACGCAACAAGCACCAATACGACTATCGTCAGGCTTACGCCATCTCAAGATCCCCCATACAATCCCGGCAGACATCACCACCCGCATAGCTTCATCGACCAGAACCATTATAATAATCCTTTTTAATTCCCATTTCTATTAATATACTGCTTCTATATATTTGAGACCTCCCACATGTAAAGGAATTTATATCATAGGCTTTACTACTATGTGTCTTTAATATATAGAACTTCAATCCACAACCCTACTATCATAATGCTTACGCATCATAGAGACATTTTATAATAATGCTTTTGTATCATAGACCTTGCTATAATAAGTCTCTAATATAGACTATACATTGTGCAACAGTAATATAGTAGTCGGTCACCCGACCACCACATACACCCTTGGGTGAGCGTCTCCGGCCGCTATATAGATAAGCAATCTTTACACGAACACCCTCCATCTGTACATGAATAGGCTCAATAACTTAGGCAAATTTTGGCCAATTTTCCAATTATTTTATAAATGTTATTTACTTTTATTACTACAATATTTTACACTTTTATTTCTATTATTTAATACATTTCGAATATTTTAACGAAGCTCATAATTAATTTATTGATTTCAAATGCGACATTTCTCTTTAATTCACTATAATAATGTCTGAAATGTATTTATTTTAGCTTTATGCTCGTTAATGTATTTTAATTGTTTGAAATATAACTTCTAAGATAAATTTTGACGCCTTTACGAGTATATAGAAAAAATTATTAATTCATAATAATAATAATGGGCCATCACAATATTATAGCAAGGATGTAAATTATGCCGCGTTGAAAGTTTTAAGAATCGTAGAGCAACACAGTAGGGTAGTAGCCATAGCGTTATTTTCTGATACCAAACTGTTGGCAACGCGGAGCAATGTTCCCTAAAATTATCAGATGCTTTTTGTAATAAAACGTTTAATTTACGTCCAGTAGCCTCTCAATCGTCAAGCGGTCTCATGAGACCGCAGTCATATTCCGTCAAATCCCTAGCGGTCTCATGAGGTCGCACACAACTACAGCACTTTAACCCATAAAAACTTGTAGATAGAGACAACTTTTCTATGAAGAAGTTTGGCAATATATAATCAATATGAATTATTCTCTATCCTCCAGTGCAATAAGAAAACTATTATATTATGACAAAAACTATTAACTGTTATCCTATGAATATTTATTTATATATACATATATATATATATATATATATATATATATATATATATATATATATATATATATATATATATATATATATATATATATATTTACTGCCTCGTTGGTCTAGTGGTTGTAAGTAGTGCGACTGCTGATCATGAGGTCCTGGGTTTGAATCCTGGGTCGGGCCAAAAAATTAATTATTGAGTTTTTACGTCAAGAAATTCTCAGTAGTTGCCCGGAGTCTGAAATTTGGCGGTGTCTCACCCCTGTGGCTCGGAAAGCACGTAAAGCCGTTGGTCCTGCGCCTGATCTCTCTCCGGTCATGTCGGTTTACCGTCCCATCGAATTACGAGAGTGTGGGAATAGAGAGTGCACCTGT